AAGGGCGAAAAATTCAGGGACATAGAACAGTGTTATATACATACCAAAAAGAGTAAGTAGAAACAAAAGGAAAATTTAAAAAAAAGAAGAGGCCAATTAGAGGAAGACTCCACATTCTTTTACTGAAGGTTAACTTGGTATCATTGGAAATCACTTAGAATCTAACCTTTCAGGAGAGCATTAAGAACAAGTTTGATGATATTAAGACAGCTTTGTTTGAGTCAACCTCTGTGGAGCCTGGCATTCATGATCATGTCCAATCAGTCTTTGTTGGGCCAGCAATTGTTGTGGTTGGTCATAACTTCTTCCATTCCTATCTCACATCTCTTTCCAACAGGCTGCAGTTCTCTCAACTCATTTACTTTCTCTCAGTTCTGGACTTTGGCACATTAACCTTCCTCTGTTCTGATTACCCTTCTTCATCTGGCTATTTCTTTCTCCTCCTTCAAGATTCAGTCAAATAATCTGGCTAAAAGGCCATCCTAGACTCCCCAGGCTAGGCCAGGTACTTTTCTGTGCTTCCACTGAAATGGATGCATACCCCCATCTTAGCATTTATTACATACTATTGGGATGGTCACCTGTATCTGCCTGTTTCCTTGACTCTACATTTTACAGCATGAGTATCTTGAAGGATTTTTTCTTTTTTTTAAATTTTTTAAAGTCACCCAGTCGTGTCTGACTCTTTGCAACCCCATTGACTCTAGAGTCCATGGAATTTTCCAGGCCAGAATACTGGAGTGGGTAGCCTTTCTCTTCTCCAGGGGACTCTTCCCAACCTAGGAATTGATCTGGTGTCTCCTGCATTGCAGGGGGATTCTTTACCAATTGAACTATCAGGGAAGCCTCCCCCCCGCCCCTCCCCAAAAAACTTGAAAGGCTGTATTTTTCATTGTTTAACACTATACTTGGTTCATGGTCAGTTCTCAATATATGTTTGTTGAATCAATGTATGAAATGAAGATGTAAACAGGAGCAAGAGACTATTCTACCACTGAGGAGTTTATATTTTAGTGAATGGAGAATGATTTTTAGAAATAGCTATAACAGAAGCTACAATTTGCTAAATGCTATAATAGAATTCACAAAGCATTGCTAGAGCTTAGAAGTTAGAGAAACAATTCTGAGTTAATGAATGGGGTATGGAGGAGATAAAATTCAGGGTAGGTTTTGAAGAATAAATAGAATTTTAATAAGTTTTTTAATTTTAAAAATAATAAGTGGTTTGTTAAAGATGATTTCAAAAGTACATAAAGGGAGACAAAGACAACCTTTTTAGTTTTTGCTGTGCCACAAGGCATTTGGGATCCCAGTGTTTTCCTTGGCCGTGCGTGGCATGTGGGATCTTAGTTCCCTGACCAGGGTTGGAACCCACATCCCTTGTAGGGGAAGCATGGAGTCTTAACTCACTGGACTGCCAGGGAAGTCCCCAAGACAACCATCATTAACACTTGGTATAATTCTTTCTGGTCCTTTAATATAATGTATATCAGAGAAATGAGCTATAAACTTATTACTTATACTGAACATAAATATTGTATTTATATGCATTTTCCCATTTAAACATATATTCCAAGTATTTTATTCAGTTATTGATAATTATCTCAATAAATATAATTTCTAATACATGGGCTGATCATATCATAAATTATTTAATACTACCTATATTTAGGTATTCCTGGTTGCTTACTAGTTTTCACTATTAAAGGAAAAAAAATGCTACATTCACATAAATCAGGTATGAAGTTTTCCCAAAATTCAGGATTATTTTCTTCATATACATTCCGAGAAATGGAAATAATTGGATGAAGAATATGAACAGTTAGAAAGTTCTTGATTCATATTGTCAAACTGCTTTCAAGAAGGATTGTAAAAATTTTACAATCCTTCCACCAGAATGTATGAGGGTGCCCATTTGATCACAGACAGTGGCGTTTCTATAGGCAGCAATGGGTTTTAAGGGCATTTTAGAAAGATGAAATGGCCTAAGTAACAAATGAGAAATAGCTAAGTGTCTCTACATTTAGGGAATGATGAGAAAGTGGTTCACTGTGGCCAGAGTGTGAGTATGGGTACATGAAAATATAGTGGAAGAAATGTCTAGAAGGCTATGTTTAAAGTCACTTGGTGGAGACCCTTGAATGACTGGCCAGAAGTTTAGACTTTATTTTGATGAAAATGGTAGACTATTTAGAATTTTGACCATAGGTTTGGATGATATATATTTTAAGAAGATATTTACATAGCTGAGTGAGAACTGAATCTGAATTAGATAATGTCATTAGCAAAGGAAAAGAGAAAACCCATATAAAGTATGATCAGAAACCTGAAGCACAGGGCCGTGGGTTTAGGGAGAGAAGGAAGAGCACAAGATGATACCGTGGCTTTGATAATCTGAAGATGGTAATGTATTACTAAAAATAGAGAATAATTTTCCCTTGAGCTTATTCTAAAATCTAGACATATTATATCATGATGTATTGTATTTTGCTGTTCTAATTCTCGAGGGGGCTGTGAGCTCTTACAGAATAGGATAACTTCTTACTAATTTTTCTATTTCCAAGGCCTAGAATCTGTCTATCTCATTGTAAGATGCCCAGTAAATGCTTATTAAATTAGCAAGTTTTTGAGAAGAGGTTTTGAATTAAAACTCTAAAAGATGTATGATCTTCGAGAAGAAACTTCAGTAGAGAAGAGAATTTAGCATACCTACTGTAGGGAGTAAATAAGATATATAGAAGTGAAAGTATTGCTCCATTTTAAAAAGCCATCACTGCTTGGACCCAAGCTGATTAGTGCTGTGAATAGCTTTTAAATGAACCAAGATGTTAATCACTTCAACTATTTCCCAAAGGGCCAAGCAAAGACTACCATCTTCTTTGTGAGCCACAAGGTAGAAAAGGTAGAAAAGTACCTTTTTGTTTATTTATGATTTGTAGACTATATATTTTCCATATAGATCTGAGGGCTGCCAGGGGCTGAATTATCTAACTTAAATGCAGAGTACATCATGCAAAATGCTAGGCTGGATGAAGCACAAGTTGGAGTCATGATTGCCAGCAGAAATATCAATAACCTCAGATATGCAGATGACACCACCCTTATGGCAGAAAGTGAATAGGAAATAAAGAGCCTCTTGAGGAAAGTGAAAGAGGAGAGTGAAAAATCTGACTTAAAACTCAACATTCAAAAAACTAAGATAATGGCATCTGGTCCCATCACTTCATGGCAAATAGATGGAAAAACAAGAGAAACAGTGACAGATTTTATTTTCCTGGGTTCCAAAATCAGTGCAGATGGTGACTGCAGCCATGAAATTAAAAGACACTTGCTCCTTGAAAGAAAAACTATGACAAACTTAGACAGCATATTAAAAAGCAGAGACTTTGCCAACAAAGGTCTGTCTAGTCAAAGCCATGGTTTTTCTAGTAGTCATGTATGGATATGAGAGTTGGACCATAAAGAAAGCTGAGTGCTAAAGAATTGATGCTTTTGAACTATGGTGTTGGAGAAGACTGCTAATGCATGTATTGATGGGCTGTTGGGTGCCACATACTGTGCTAAGGATTCAAAGATACAACATAAGCTCTGCCCCAGAGGCATATACAGAATACTGGGGTGAGAGTTAGGTGAATGAACAACTTAAATATATTGTGTACAATACTCTAGAATGCAAAGGACATTTTATTTGAAAAGGAAAAAAAAAAAAAAAGACATTTTGCCCAGCCAAGGATTTAGGGAAAACTTTCTGATATAGATAATGACTAAGCTGGTTTTGAAGGAAAAGGAGGAATAAACCAAGTGAGAAAAAGGGATATTGCAGGCAGAGGGACCAAAACAAACAAGATATGAAGACACTGAAGATAAAATGATATGGATAGGAACTGTAACTGTGTATGTTTCAACAAACTAGAATGAAAAGTGTGAGACAAAGTGCCAGAAACTGAGGCTGACAGACAGGTAGGGACCAAACACAGGTGACTTGTCTCTTCTACTAGGGAACAGTCATCTCACATGGACTGGTTCTAAGAGACAAAATTCCAAACTTATAATCTAGACAAACCAGATTGAAAGTAGTATAAAGGACACATTTAAGAGTAAAGGAGACCTGGGTATAAATTGTGAAAAAGCAAAAACACTAATTCAAAAAGATACATGCACCCTAATATTCATAGCAGCATATTTTCAGTTGCCAAGACATGGAAACCACTGAAATGCCCATCAACAGATGATTCCTGTGTGGTGTTGGTAGTAAATAACCTGTCTTGCCAATGCAGGAGACCAGAGAGATGTGGGTTTGATCCATAGGTTGGGAAGACCCCTTGGAGGAGGAAGTGGTAACCCACTCTAGTTTTCTTGCCTGGAGAATCCCATGGACAGAGAAGCTGGGCGGGCTACAGTCCATAGTGCCTCAAGGAGTGGGACACGACTGAAGCAACTTAGCAATCAAGAATATATGTATAATGGAATACTGCTGCTAAATCACTTCAGTCGTGTCCGACTCTGTGTGACCTCATAGACGGCTGCCCACTAGGCTCCTCTGTCCCTGGGATTTTCCAGGCAGGAGTACTGGAGTGGGTTGCCATTTCCTTCTCCGATGCATGAAAGTGAAAAGTGAAAGTGAAGATTTTTTTTTTTTAATAAAGGAGACCAGCTAGAAAGCTACAGGGATAGACCAGGCAAGAGATGTCTGAACTAGAGCAATAAATAGAAGAAGTGGAGAGGGAGCAGGATCAAGAACAGACATGACATAAAATTAATTTGACTTATTGCTTGATTAGATCTGGAGGATCTAAGACAAATTCGTAGTATCTAATGGGGTAACTATGTTGTGTTGTGTTGCCTTTGAGTGAGATGGGAAGCTCTGAGAAGGAACAAAATGGTGGGGAGGGTACTGGGTTCCCTGGACATATTAAGTTTGGAGAAATTAAGATACAGAGAAGTGTATGTGTCCAGATATCAATTTTAATTAAATATACATTAAAGGATGAGTACCTTACCTGTTTTTCACAAGCCAGTAGTCTTTCCCATTAAGGTTACCATAGCCAACCACTAGTACACCATGATTCACAGTCTGAGTACAGGACGGGTCATAGTAGACACCTGAGAATAACATATGGGTAAAGAAAAAGAGTAAGTGGTGTGTGACACTATCTTATTAGCCTGTTTTGGATATATGTGAGGAACATATACTCTTCTGTTTAAACTATTTAGAGTTCATGATTCTTTGCCATCAATGCTATAGTTGTCACGACTGGGTTTTTCTGTTGTTTGCTTTTTGGTTTCACAAAGTTTGGCATCAAGTTAATCGCAGTTCCCTCAGAAAGCTCCTTTGATGAACTGCCACCTTTTTCCAGTTAAGAAAAAATGACTTATTTGGCTGCGTTGTATACCAGTTGTGGCCCATGGGATCTTTTGTTGGGTCATACACCCTCTAGTTGTGGTTCATGGGCTTAGTTGCTCCACAGCATGTGTGATCTTAATTCCCCCACCAGGGATCAAACCCATGTATTCTGCATGGCAAGGAAGATTCTTAACCACTGAACCACCGGGGAAGATCCCTAACGTTTTTTTTAACTTATATTGTTGTATTTCTTTGTATATATTCCTAAATTGTTATGCATTTTCATCCTTTACTGAATTAAATGATCATTAAGGTGAGGCTTTAAAACAAGATGATAACCTTCTAGTTTGTTTAATATGATGTTCTGTGTTTAGTGGACGGCCCCCTTGTACTCTGCTGGGCTGCACCTACACGCCACAGTGGACCGGGAGGCTAGGTGCTCAGGCTCTGGACTCAGGCAGCATGGTTTCTCATCCCAGCTGACCACCTGCAGACTGTATGACTTTAGGTAGGTTAACCTGTCTAAGACTTGTTTTTTTCATCTGTAAATAGGGTTATTATAAAGATTAAGGGGCTTCCCAAGTGGTACTAGTGGTAAAGAATCCGCCTGCCAATGCAGGACACGCAAGAGATACAAGTTCAATCCCTGGGTCAGGAAGATCCCCTGTTGGAGGAAATGGCACCTTACTCTAGCATTCTGGCCTGGAAAATCCCAAGGACAGAGGAGCCTGGCAGGCTATAGTTCATGGGATTGCAAAGAGTCGGACAAGACTGAGCAACCAAGCACACATGGGGATTAAATGAGATAATGTGCAGAAAGAACTTAGCATAGGACTTGGCATGCAGTCTTAGTAAATTTTTTCCAGTCTTACTTTACTAATTAGAACCAGGTGTAAAAATATGTATATGAAGTGAAATGAGATGGAGGATTCTGTTTAACCTAATCTAGGCATTCAGAAGCAGAGAGATGGGAAAGGAGAACATTCTTTCCTCCGGTGTGAGGGCAGTATAAAGCACGAGGGTAATCTGTCTGGGTTTTTACCAGTTTTGTAGAAGAAGAAAGAAGAGTGCTTCGCATCTATAGCAACAGACACAGGTCCTTTATTGGCCACAGCTTCTTTTAAGGCCTCTTCGCTGCCGAAGGGAAGCTCAATATACCTTGAACACGTGGCAGCTCGATTTTTTACATCATACCGGCACCTTCCATCCTGTGGGGAAAGGATAAGTCAGATAAAGAAGTGGACTTCAACTTCCATTATAAATTGACGGTATCCTAAGTCTGCATTGCAAATAGGTTTTCTTTTCTCATTCGTCCTTTCAAGTATCTAAGACACTTTCTTATTTAAAAAAAAAAGAAATATAAAATCTTCCAAATCATAATAGCTCTACGTTTCACCAGTAACAGAGGAAATATAGAACTATTCTATTGCTTTAAATTGTGAACATCTTCATGTGTACAAAAGTTGCCAGGGTAAAGTCTCTCAGACTCTAGGTGGATTGTTAGGGAAATACTACATTAAGACTCTAGACTAGAGCTTTAAAATCTTTTTGATGGTATAATGCCTGGAAGGTGATCTGCAGATTAAATACTGGTTTGCCTGTTTAGTTGCTAAGCTGTGGCTGACTCTTTTGTGACCCCATGGACTATAGGTGACAGCTCCTCTGTCCATGGGGTTTNTCAAATCTTAAATTTCACATCACTTTAATAAAATCTAATAATATGGATCTTATGCTGGTGTAACAATCTAACTCAAAGAAGTTCTCTCTCTCTCTCACACACACACACACACACACACAGTCACACACATACTCACACTCTCTCTCTCACACACACACACACACACACACACACACACACACACACACACACCACGCAGCACTGCTTCTCAAGCACTTGGCTTGGTGATAAGTTTGGTATAGTGAGTTGGAGGGATAACATAAGGTCAAGGGGCAGCACAAAAAGTTAACTTGCGGGCACACCATGGCTTTGTAGGGATAGGAAGCGTCTGAATCGATGCCATTGTTGTCAATGATATATTGGAAAGCCTCTGTCATGAAGCCGCCATTGCAGCCTTTATTCCCATATTTTACAGTTGAGCAATCCACCAGGTTCTGTGCACTCAGAGACACCAACTTTCCTGTTTTCAGCTTCACTTGTGCTTCCAGGGCTCCCACAGCACTGAAAGCCCAACAAGCACCACAAGCACCCTACAACAGAGACAAAGTCACAAGGGCAATCATAGTTAGTAAGGATGGCTTCCATAATGCAAACTGGGAAACTCCCAACATGTCAGCACTTCTATCAGTTCAGGAAGAGCTCCCCCTCTATGGTTTCCCCTCCCCTTAGACCATGGCAATGAAGATCGAACACTTGATTATTCTCTGGAACAAGGTCTAACTTTAATAAATATTTATGAATGGCTGATCTCACAGCATAATTGCCATATTCAAATATGTTAAGAAAGAGTATTTACTGAACATGTACCAAATACCAGCTATTTTCACCCCATAAAAGGGGAGATAGATGCCAACAGTAAAGGGATTTTTGAGAGGAACTAGGATGATTCCCTTGACCTAAAACACCCTTTCTTCTGCCAAATGTTGCCTGAAAGATAAGACTAGCATTTTTTTTGGACATTTTTAGCTTTAGAATTTTTTTGATCATAAGTTATTTTACTGGGAAGCATAAATAGAAAAACAGAAAGCTGCTTTAGTTTAAAAAGGTGCAGAGGGGCCAGAGCCACATCATAACTGCACTCCCTCTCCTCCTCTCATTCCACTTGGCTGTCTATTGGAAGGAAGCAAATTCAGTCTGCTTTTGGTTAAAGTAAAATCACCCACTGAAATGCAAGCACTCAGAGAAAGGAGCTCATTAAATTATTAATATTTATAGTGAACACTTAGATGGGCAGTTATTGGATCTTCTCAAACTTTTAGAGAATTCCACTAAGAAACTCAAAACTAGTTGAAAGAAAAATATCTAGATGGAAAAGACTTATGAGATTAGCAGTATCATTCGTTTCCTAATTTTTATATTTTTCTTTGGTCACAGGCTTGGGACAGCTTCACAGGACATTGATTCTTCTCCCTTATCCTGACCTCCAAGGTGATATATGTGTTTTATCCTTGCGTGCTAAGTTGCTTCAGTCGTGTCTGACTCTTTGCAACCCTCTGGACTGTAGCCTGCAAGGCTCCTCTGTCCATGGGATTCTCCAGGCAAGAATACTGAAGTGGATTACCATGCTCATCTCCAGGGGATCTTTCCAACCTAGGGATTGAACCCGCATCTTTTGTGTCTCCTGCAATGGCAGGCAGGTTCGTTACCACTAGCACCGCCACCTAGGAAGCCTTTTATCCTTCGGGTCAGTTCAGTTGGGTTCAGTCGCTTAGTCGTGTCCAACTCTTTGCGACTCCATGAATCGCAGCACACCAGGCCTCCCTGTCCATCACCAACTCCCGGAGTTTACCCAAGCTCATGTCCATCGAGTCAGTGATGCCATCCAGCCATCTCATCCTCTGTCGTCCCCTTCTCCTCCTGCCCCCAATCCCTCCCAGCATCAGGGTCTTTTCCAATGAGTCAACTCTTCACATGAGGTGGCCAAAGTATTGGAGTTTCAGCTTCAG